TGCCACATCAGCGATACCAGCGTTGCGTCAGCCTGTTGCCAACGCAACTCTTCAATCTTCAGCGTAGCCTCGTCATCATCTTCAAGGGACAGCTGCTCGCACGTGCATTACTACAATGTCTAGACTTGTCACTTGCGGTGTTTACCGCGCGTGTTAATAAACGCGTTTCGTTTTGCACATGGGGCACTTCCCACTTACCTGGGTGCCGCGTCAGCACCTGACAACAGTCAGCAGATTGCGATGGAGAAGTTGCTCTCATACCAAATTGTAATGAACCCAATTTAGTACATACTTAGAAGTCGTCAAACACAAGTAGTCTCAGTATTTGCAACAGGGTCTCCAAATTGTGAAGTGATAAATCAAACAAAACTCGTTACCATTAGACGAAGAGAGTGGAGGGGGATCAGTTCTCTCACAGAAGAGAAGGTGGAAAAGATCACAAAAGAGTAATCCTGTCAAACCCCTCTCCTTCTCCGGGCTTCTTCCCTCTCCACCTCAGCAACCAGAAGATGATAACAAGTATAGTAGTCTTGATCACACACAGTAGTGCCATGTGACACTCTTATCTCATGAAGACCATGAAGACACAACAGATTCAGTGACGACGTCAACCTCAGGTGAGTACCCAATCTCCCTTATCCACAAATCCCGATCTTCCTCCTCCTCACAACCAGTCACCTCATGTAGACAGTGTGGACAATGCCACATCAGCAGACGAGACAGGTGACATATGCCACATCATCAATGTAGACCAGATGCAGCGACACATCAGCATGCCATGAAGACCAGAGGCAGCGCTACATCAGCATGCCATGAAGACAAGAGGCAGCGCCACATCAGCATGCCATGAAGACCAGAGGCAGCGCCACATCAGCATGCCATGAAGACTAGAGGCAGTGCCACATCAGCATTGCCTGGCGAATGCCAGCATGCTGCCTCCTTCCCTTACCGTCGACTGCAACGCCTGTGCACAACTAGCATATAGCCAGTGTCGCGCCAGCATGAAGCCAGCGTCTAGTCAAAAGTCGAGCCAGCGTCAAAGCAGCATAGCAAGACTGAATGCTGACCACCTCGAGGCCAGTCTTTAAGTAGCATTTGGCGAGGCTCTTTGGCCTCGGGTCTCCTTCCCTTGTCGTCCAGATTGCATCACAGCCGAAGGCCTGGATCGTACAGTTGTAGACATTCCCCTTGGAGTCTTGGACCTTATGTTGTCTGGATACCTGCATACAAACAAGTGTGTGTGCTTGACCGGCGGCCTGGACTGGGTACCTTTGGACTTTGACTGTTGGGGTCACGGCAGTAGACAAAAGTCAACTGTCTCATGTCCAAGCCCTGAATTTTCGTGTGGGGTCTTTGCCCCTGTTTTCGGCCTGGGCTGAGGGCGGCCGAGTTGGCCCTCAGTCTTTCCACGAGTCATATGGCATAGGTTATTGCACAAGTAACTCTCACCCCAGACACAAGGCTGAATCTTGGTCGCCCGATAACACGCGAAGAACTCTGGGAAGCAGTCAAAAATATGACAAACGGCAAGAGCCCCAGTTCAGATGGGCTGCCCGTGGAGTTCTACGAAGCGGTTTGGGACCATATTGGCCCATACCTCCTCGCCCTCTATAACCACTTACTAGAGGGAGGAGCTCTGGCAGAATATATGAAGCTGGGGATTATCACGTTAATCTACAAAAAGGGCGACAAGTCCAACATCCGCAACTGGTGGCCCATCTCGAGATTGAATGTGTCCTACAAAATACGGGCAAAACTCCTCGCAAGAAGGCTGGCACCGCATCTCGCAAGCCTCGTTCACACAGACCAAGGTGCTTTTGTACAAGGACACTCAAATGCTGAGAACATCCTGCTGGCGGTTGTGCGCTGGAAGTCATACAGCGGGAAATGAGACAGGTCGTGGCTGCAATGTTAGACCTTGAGAAGGCTTACAACCGCGTATATTGGTCTTTTGTCCTGGCTACGCTATAGCATATGGGCTTCGGCCCGAAGTACCGTACCTGGGTCAGGGAGCTCTACACCGACTCTACGATCACAATTAGTGTAAATGGCTTCCTCTCACCCGGCTTCTTGCTGACTCGCTCTCTCAGGCAGGGCTGCCCCCTGGCGTCACTTTTGTTCGCAGTCCAAATGGAGGTGCTCTTGAACTCGTTCAGAGATTCCCAGCACATACGAGGCCTGAGTCTTGGCGCAGGAGAGTCCTTCCTTACTGGAGCCATAGCAGACGACCTGTTGCTCGTTATGGAGGCGACCCCCGACACTATGCAGGAGGCTAAGATGCTGCTCGACACCTATGCCACCTTATCTGAGGCACAGGTCAACTGGGGGAGATCTGTTTACTTCCTCCCGAGAGACTATGATCTAACAGGGCAGGGCTGGGGAATGAAGAGAATTCTCCTGGACTTATTGGAGCACTACCTACTACCTAGGGGTGCAGGTTTCTTTAGTTGATGCCAGCCCAAGGCAGCACGTTGTCCTGCAGGCTAAAGTCCAAGCTGGACTCCAGTGGTGTCGCGTAGCGGTAGGCATGTCCCTGCTTGGATGGGCGCTTCTCATCAACTAGGTCGTCTTCGATCAACTCTGGTTTATAGCTGCTGTGTGTCTGATTTCCAAACCTGCCGTCAAGCATCTGACAGCTGATGCCACACACTATTTGTGGAAGCCCTCAGCACAGGAGGGGCAAGGATACATCTTCAAATGTGCTTGGTCGAAGGTAACTACCAGTAGGTCTGAAGGAGGTCTTGGGCTAATTGACCCAAGAGGGCAAATCTTTAATCTCGCACTATTGACAAAATGGCTTCTCAGAGCGGCAACCCAAGCAGAGCGCAGAAACTGGCTCACGGTCTTGGAATACCTACTGCAGCAGGAGCTCTCTCTAACACGCAGAGAGGATGTGTGGTCTTGGGTATTTATGTCGTCATATGCACGAAGGCAGCTACGCTCACCACTGGCTAGAGGGCTATGGTCTGCCTGGGGTCACCTGCTTCCAACCCTCGAAAGAGAACCAGTCACGACTCACAAGTGAAGAGGTACTCAGGCAGAATATCTTCGACAACTCGGACATCTGCAGCAGTCAAGGTCCCAAGGAGAGTCCTTTGAAACAACTGCCGCCCCAGGCCAGAGGCGACGGACAGAGCGGGGAATAACCATGATACGGGATCTGTGGGACGAGGATCAGGAAGATTGGATCATCGACTCAAAACTGAAGCAGAAGCTCGGCCAACTCCAGCACATCACAACCAGGACTCAACAGATCCGGGATGGAATCCCAGCCCATTGGTTGGAACTTCTTCACTCCAAGTATCCGGTAGAGGGGGAGTGGTACCGGGACCCGCAGGAGCAGGAACCTGAAGCGGTCCTGTGTATTGAAGAGCAGCTAGACAATGACACGTGGCATGCTAAAAAATGGAGTCCGAGCACGAATCTGACGCAACCAGACACACTACAGTCCCTCAGGGATGTAGCCATAGAGTCTCAGTGGCCGCTTCAACAGATTCGGGTACACACGAGGACGAAAGCTGGTTCCGTCACACACGAGCTGCTGCCTCTGGCCTGGTCTTGGGAGCCACTGTCAGGACAGACGAAGCCTCTCCACCAGTACACATCTGCGCTGGGAAGACAACTGCAAAACAGAGTAAACAACTTACCATCAACAGTAGCTGGGCTACTCAACAGATTGAGGGGAGACACTCACTCTATTACACGACAGGACATGAGAACTCTGTGGGCCCAACTTACAGCTTTGCCATCACAAAAGCTTGCAGGCATCTTATGGCTACTCTCACATGCCGCCATCCCCACTGCCACTTGGCTCTTTGGGAGAGGGATGGACATCGATACGAAATGTAAACGTTGTGAAGGCAGGGCTGAAGAAACACTGCAGCATCTTATCTGGACATGCCCTGCCTCAAAGAGAATTTGGCAGTGGTGGGAACAGCACTGGTTCATATTTGTTGGCACGGTGCTACCTTAGAATGAGACCTGGGCACTTCATGGGCGCACACATGGTTTAATTGCAAGGGCAGGGGCTAGGTGGCACAGGTGACTCGGTCAATTCTCATCTGGGTCATCTGGGAAGACTGAAACAACGTCCTTTTCCAACAGCAATGGACGAGTGACGCCGCGCTCACTGCAAAAATCAAGGCTGCATGGATCCGAACCATGATAAGGGTCGATTGGATCAGAAAGGCAGCAAGGGGCCACACACAAAGAGGCAGACACTGGTTCCTGGTCACCTGACAACAAATTGGCAGCGGTCACCCACTCTGGAAAACTGGTTATTTCTCCTTGGATCTCTACTTAGGTCCTAACCTTCCCCTCCCTTCCCTCTGTTTAGTCTGTGCCTCCATGAACCAGGTGCACTCGGCTCCTGTTGGCTGTCGCAGTAGTAGACTGCGTAGGGTGGAGTGGGAAGGAGAGTGTCAGGCCCAACAGGTGTTCCTCTCGGCCGCTTTGGGCCGAGTCCCGGACCGTTTCTTAGGTCTGTGAAGTAGCGAGTAGAGTTAGCCTAGGATTTGTTTGTAGTAGCAGTAGGTTAGTGAAGGAGATAGTCTTCTGCTATGCTTTACATGATTGTTAAGCACTGTTGGGATTTCTGTATTCTACTGCACTAATCTGATCAATGATCATCATAAGCTAAACCGGCTGACGCTTCCGGGATAACTCCGGGTTGAATTGTGAGGTCCCCGGCCTCTTTCCTATGATTGATGGTAACATAATCTGGTCATTCTTGTAAAAAAAAAAAAAAAAAAAAAAAAAAACCACTTGGCAAACGCGCATGGCCCACACAACACCGCGTGCCCAGCAGGGAATCGCCCCGTTTTCCCAACAATGGCAGCCGGGCCTCGCGGAATCATCACGTGAGACCCGGCTTACACTTTACTAAGAGTATATGTATATATATATATATAGATATAGAAGGTAAAAAAAAGGGAAAAAGGGGCCAAAAAAGAAGGGTCTGGTGTGGCGGGCAATTACTTGCTACTACAATGGAGTTTCCCCTTGTGGGACACTGTTTGTTTGATGGATTCTTTGTTCCACACGCTGCGCCTGCTATGTGCCTGTGTTACTTGCTCCCCCAACTGAGTTTATTCTTCTGGGACTGTGATCGTTTGAGGGGTTTTGTTCTTGTTTCTGCATCATCCGATGTGGGTGCGAAGGGGTCGTTCTCGGACACAGTGGTCAGCTTTGATGTCACAGAGTCGGTTCGGACTATACTTGACGGGTACGTGAAACTTGCCAGGGATCCAACAGAGCTTTGAACGGCAAAGCTATCAGTGTGTTTGACTACACCAGAGGGTGTAACGGGCTTGGGATGTCCTCCGCACAGCTTGCGCAGCATCCCCTGCCAGAGTGCCTTGATTTTGCCTGGGCTTATCTTCATCTTCACCGCGATAACCAGGAGTGCGGTAACGACGACTCCCGCCACAAAGGTTCCAATCAACCTGATGATGTCATGTGTGGTATTGGCTCCTTCCAGTCGTAGCTGACTGTTCCGTGCACTGGGGTTATGGTCGCGACCTGATGGCGGGATCTGCACTTGGAATACCATAACAACGCTTGACGTTTTCAGCTCAAAGAACTGGCAGGCGATTCTAGAACGCTGCAGGGGGGTAATTGCCAAATTGTCCACCCGGAAAATATTGTGTTGCTCCCCAAGGAGGAAACGGCACCGGTGAATTGTGTCATTAGGGTTATAGCGGGCTTCATCGATTGGCAGAACCACTTGTGTCATCCCAAATGGAGGCGCTCTGGTGAGGGCAGTATTTGACATCCCAAAGGAGATAGGCGTCAGTGGGGTGAATCCGCTACTCGGTGGAGTCGTAGGCTCCGACGATAACTTCAAGAAAGGGGGCTGAGTACCCATGTGAAATGTGACCCCGCTTGTCACTATAGCCCCGAGATTACGGCTGACATACCTCTGTAGGATTGACATGTCGCGCATGCAGGAAATGCCGACGACCAGGCCCTGCGATTGATCACACTGCCGCTGCGACGCACACCATCGGCTCAGGTTTCTGGGTAGCTGCACTATGGCACAGGGGTCCAGCAGCATCGTTCCCGCCGCTGATGGGGGGGGAGGAGGGCCGGAATCGGAACTGGAGGGTTGCTCACTTATTCTCACGCTCGGCTTTTTCTGTTTTGAATCCCTTCTCCGGGCTGAGGTCTCTTTCTCTTCAAGGTTTGTTGCCGCTGTCCGGTTCATCTTGGCGACTTGGGACCTTGAAGACCGGTCTGACAAATTGGACGATGCACCGTGCGGTGCAGGTCTGTCTCTCCCTGTCCCTGGTTGGTGTGGGGCCACTGATGCTGCTGGTTCCGACGATGATGAGGATGCCTGCACCGCTGCTGCTGGTGATGATGATGAGTGCATTGCTGCTGCAGAAAGGGCAGGACCTTGACCGTCGTCGCTACGCGTGTTTACAAATGGCTCCAATGCCACTGCTGATGGCGGTGACGATGATGACGGCCGGACTGTTGAAGTGTCGGTTGGTTGCTTTTCTGCTGTGGGGGAGGGAGAAGGCAATGAAGAAGAAGTAGGGGAACGAGGAGGGGGGTGACGAGGGCCAACCTGATGTTCTGGAGGCCTAGTAGATGCATTAGACCCTGCCGCTGGTGTCGGCGGAGAGGACCTCGCCATGGATGAGGAAGACCATGATGTTAGAAATGATGATGCACTGGACAAGGCAGAAAAAAACCCTGAAGCGAGCGACGATCGGGGCAATGGTGGAGACGAGTGTGAGGTCGAGGATGATGTAAGAGATGATGGTGACGATGGAGAAGACAAAGGATGCGACACAGAGTGGGGTGAAGAGAGTACAGAAGTGGTGGAAATCCCTGGGGCAGGCTTATGGGAAAATGACTCGGACAATGAATCGGAAGAATCTGATCCAACGTCACCGGCCGGATGGAACTCTGGAGATTGAGGTGTTGCTTGAATGGCTCGGCCTGGTGCTGGAGGCGGAAGTGGAGGAGGAAGGACAATAGGTGGAGGATTGAGAGGGTCTGGGAGTGSGTTGAATATGGGATCGATAGGGGTGAATACAGGTGCCACGTATACCTCCCCTCCTCTGGACACTGTACCAGATTGTAGAGGCTGGACGCCCCCTGTTGCGTTTGAAGCACCACCACCAGACTCTTGGGAAAGAAGCCACTCCACATCATCATCCGTTGATATGTTGTGGTGGCCCATGAAGATGGGAGAAGATAACCGGTTGAGGAGATGTAGTTGGCGGGGGCTTACGACCCGGACATCGAGCGCCAGGTTCTCGTCCTCACTGATGAAAACTTCATACTCTCCAGGTACAAGTGCAGAGCCGATGACATCCTTCAGTGTGCTCATTGCGGAATCAATGGAGGAGTATGCCCGAAGTGCTGCCTTCAAAAGCTCGTCGCCTGTAGGAAAGCCTATTGCCCCGAATTTGACACGGAGGTTCGGTCCATAACCCATTGTTTGAACCCGAGTCTCCTGTTTCTTAAGTCTAGGAACGTGGCGTCGAGTGGAGTGACTGTCCTTATCTTTCTGAGTCGGCAAACCTCGAGTGGATCCCTTCACATCTCCAGTTGCCCTCTTAGAAGGCTTCCATCGAATATGGTCGTGACCCTGAACCTGATGCTCATCTCCAGGATTAGCTACATTCGGTTTTCCATGTGGGCGGAGGCTCATTTCAGTCCTTGAAGAGTCTGCTTTCGGTTTGTCGATGCCTGAGCGAGACGGTTCACTCTTGTTGTTCTGGTGTCCAGGGGAAGGGCCTATGGCTGCTGCTGTCATGCTTGGCTTTCCTACTTTACTTTTCTCAGCAACTGCGGCTACCGACCAGGCTGCTGTCATGTTTTGCTTTCCTACCTCACTTACCTCAGCTACCGAGTTTACCGGCCGGCTACCAAATGTTGAAGCAACTAAGGGGCCGTTCATATAAGACGGTTGCAAGGAAACAAAGGTTGATGTTGAATTGTGCAGTGGAGTGCGCTGTGTACTGGCTGCCGAGTCGTTCGCATTTCTTGAAACCCCAGGTAACTTGGTCTTTCTCTGCCCTTTGGGACGACTGCGGTTGCGATTATCGACAACGCTCACGTTGACCGCCGTGAGATTGTTGTGCTGAGGATCTCCTTCGCTTGGCCAAGAACTGTTGCGAGTTTGTAGCAACAGCCAGGAATGGGCTGCTTCTTCTTCCTCTTCCTCCTCGTCGTTCTCCTCGTCGTCCTCCTCCTCCTCCCCCTCCATAGCTGATTGTGTGACGTCTGATGAGGATGACCCAGCAGATGTGGGTGGTTGGGAGTCTGGGATGGAAGAAGTGGACACAAAGAAGGAGGACAGCGGATCTTTCAGATTTCCTGACTTGGCAACAAAATTGGTACTAGATGCATTGCCATGGAGTGATCGGAAATGAGCTGATCTGGACACTTGTGAAAATATATTCAGTAATACGTTGATCACATCATTGGTCACCATGGCTCGTGGGTGTGCGGAAAAGGAAATGGTAGGGAGCATCCTTGCCCTGGACAGGAGCAGATCCAGCGCTGCCTGTGAGGTCTCGGCAGCCATAGCCACCACACGTGCATCGCTGCCATCAACATCTATCGTGCACGCTCGCAAGGCCTGCAGAACGCCAACCGGGTTGGCGGCTGATGGGCTGAGAAGACTCTGTCCCAAGGCCGTCACCAGGATGACATGCAGCTGTGCACGATCTAAGAATGATGTAGCCTTGTAATAATGCAAAGGAGAAGAAGATGAGGACCAGGAAGTCAGTCGATCTTCCGCGTATTGCTCTAAACACTTTTCCAGCGCAAAAGCAGGAACCTGAGCCGGGTTCACTTGAAGCAGAAAATTCAATTGCCTCCTGAGGGCTGAAGCAGCGACTTGTCGGCTTACGGATGTCTTCCTCACATTAGGCGTGCCCGCCGCTTCCCGTGCACGCACCTCACTCCTCAGTCTGCGTCTCCGTGCTTCACTCTGTCTAACAGTTACCGTGACATTGCGGTTCATGCAGGAGCGAGCCCCCATGGCATCCGTCACACAAACATACAGCTGATGTGTGTGATTTGCAGCGTCCACAAGCGCAGGAGGAAGAGAATAGAATAAGTGCGATGGCTTGAGGGAGTTCACCACGGCAGGGAAACGTGTGCTTGAATCTAGATAAAACCCGAATTCGTACCGGAGGGGGTAGGATGTTGCTGCTGCCCAGCCCCTGGCAACGGCTCGCACCACCTTTGTTGTTAGTGGAAGAGGATCTTCCCCAACATACTTCGATGGAAAAAAAGATGGGACCAGAAGAGGCGCTTCCTCAGTGATCGAGAGTTTTAGACACATAGTCGCGTCCATGCTGCAATAAGGAACACTTGCAATCTGCAAAACACGGACAGTGAAAACACAGCCAGAACAAGCAGACTCAGAAAAGCCACAGCAAAGTGAGAAGTGGAGTGCGGGACAGAACCAGAAGGTCTTCGAGAGGGGACTAGGTTACGGATCTGGTGGAGGGCCATGTCATGCCAAGGGAGTTCTTTGTGTAGCAATAGCCAAATTATCCATTTTGTTTGGAGTGTTTCTTTTTTTTTTTTTTTTTTTTTTAATTTGGACCATTTCTTGATTTATGTGTGTCATCCTTGCGCAGGGGCCATGCTAATCCTAACCCTTGAGCAGCATTGGCTGCGGGGGGAGGCCAGTGTTCCGCTGCGCGCCGAAATCGGGTTGAAGTTTTGATGCGGGCCGGCGGATGAAGGCGATCGAGGGCGGGTGGGCGTGCAGAGTGGCGCGCGTACCGAATTGTTCACAGCGCGCCACTAAAAGAGAGAGCGCGCCCACAGGGCCGGGTACACTGCGGGCGTCGATGCGGATGAATATCTCGACGCGCCCGCCTTCTTATAGCATTTCCGTGTCGGTTTGTGTCCGGCCCCCTTTTTTATTTTTGTTTCGTATTCTAAAAAAAAAAAAAAGAATTTGTCATTTTGTTTCGTATTGTTGTTTTTTACTTATTTTATTTATCTTTTTTCTTTTTTTTTAATTATATTTTTCGTTCTGGCGTGTCGTTTTGTTTGCATTTTTCGCCTTTTGTTTTCGATTTGTTTCTGAAACAAAAAAAGACTTTGCGTTGTTTTTTTTTTCCCATGAATTTGCATTTTTTTGCGTCGGTCCGAAAAAAAACAAATAAAAAAAGACAAAAGAAAAAACAAAAGAAAAAAAAGACAATTTATTTTCCAATCGTTTTGGGTCGGAACGAACTTTCCGCTAGAACACGGTTAGATGCAGGCACACCAGTGTTTGGCGCTCCGTCCACGGTGCGGGCGGTCCGTGGGAATCGCCACACCACTGTGGAAATGTGAGAAAACGTGGCGGGCGCATCTGGCCATGTTCTAATGGGAAGTTCATTCTCATTTGCCTGTCTGTCTGTCGCTCTCTCTCTCTCATCGCCACACCACAGACTCTTGCTCTCTCTCTCTCTCGCTCTCTCTCTCACACACGGACACACACACACACACACACACACACACAGATGGGATGAAGTTTGCCTGTCTGTGTGTGTGTGTGCGTGTGTGTCAGAGAGAGAGAGTGAGCAAGAGATTGTGTGTGTGACAGAGAGTGTGCGGGCTAGAGTCTGTGTGTGTGTGCGCGTGGGTGTGTGGCAAAGGGAGAGTGCGGTCAAGACTCAGCCATCGCCAGTGGCACGAGCCGAGATAAGGGTGCGCCGTGTAGCTATGGCGCGCATGTCTTGAAAAACAAAAAAGGAAAAAAAAAAGGGGGAAGCTTGCCTGTGTCTCTGTCTCCCTCGCTTCCTCCTCTTTTTCTGTCCTCTCTCTCTCTCTCTCTCTCTCTCTCTCTCTCTCTCTCTCTGTGTGTGTGTGTGTGTGTGTGTAGCAGATACTGACATGCGCAAAGGGGGCACCTCAATGCAGGTACGAGAGATGGTCTCTCTCTCTCTCTCTCTCTCTCTCTCTCTCTCCATCACTCGCGCGCCTCCTTGGTCTGATACTCCCTCTCTTCACCATATATACTGTGCACGAGGGGCGAGGTTTTTGAGGCGCTTCAGCTTGAGCAACCTCAGCTCGCAGACGGGAGAGAGAGAGAGAGAGAGAGAGAGAGAGAGAGAGAGAGAGAGAGAGAGAGAGAGAGAGAGAGAGAGA